TAAATAAGAACTGAATAAATAGGTCACACATAAGAAGATAACTTGAGAAAAAGTACAATGAGCCTAACCTCCTAAAATGAGCCATTGTTAATTTACACTCAGATTATTACAAAACGTGAATAAAGTATTCACATTTAGTTCTGCTGTGCTGGTTAGCAACGTCCACGAGGAAATATGCTTCGTCATCATGTTCATTCAGAACGGGTGTCTGAAAGGCAGTAGTGTATGGGAGCAAAATCAACTGCACACAAGCAGGAGCAGTAAAGATTAGGTTAGCTTCCTGCAAGACTTGTGGAAACAATTTTTATACTTAAACACCCCCATTCATATACACCCCACAACATACTCCTGGTATCCTGCCAAAACACTTCAGATCTATTAACTTCATTTTTGGTTCTGACAGTATTTCCAAGAGGTAGATAGAGGCAGGGAACAGCTACACTAAGAAGCTGTCTCCTGGTCATTTGTGTTGGGGCTGATCTTAATAAGCTTAGATTGTGGGACGCCTGGGTGGCTCAATCGTTAAGCGTCTGCGTTCGGCTCAGGTCATGATCCCAGGGTCCTGGGATCGAGTCCCACATCGGGCTCCTTGCTCAGTGAGGAGCCTGCTTCTCCCTCTCCCTCTGCTGCTCCCCCTGCTTGTGCTCTCTCTCTGACAAATAAATAAAAATCTTAAAAAAAAAAAAAAAAAAGCTTAGATTGTGTGACTTAATAGAGTATATTATACAAAACTATTAATAGAAACAGCTCTCAACATTCTTGAGGTAGTAGTAATATTCATATATAGAACATGATTTTACAAAGTATTTTCATACCCGTCCACTGGCTCTGTGGCTCAGTCTTCTCATCCCTAAAACAGAAGTGATAATAATACTGACTTGCACAAGATGACCCTGTCAATAAATGGAGGCTTACAAGAGCAAAAAATTCTTACTTTCTTACTTTCAAAAAAAGTCCTTACTTCAGTGTGAAAATAACCAGAGCTTTGCTGAGATCTTGGCATTTTCCGGACAGTCAATAAGTATTTGTAAGTGGATGAATGATTGATTGATTGATTGATTGATTGATTGACTCAATGAATGAATGAATGAACGAATGATACAACATTGTAAAAAGGAGTCTGAGAGATTGCTCCCTGGATTTTGGGGTTCACAAAATAGTATGAGTTTCACTGCAATAGACTTTGTTATTAATTCTTTCTCTTAAACAATTTTGACAATGTTACAGCATTGTTGGGACTAATACTCTACATATTTATACTCTTGCTTTATCACTCAAGTTCATTAAGGAATAAGTTACGACAGTACTAAGAATATAGTGCCATCTAGTGACACTTCTGGTTATTATCTCTAAAATTGCATATGACAAGGGAGTGTGATGTATGCAATCGGCGATGCTCAGCATTTTTCAGTCCAAGAAAACTTTTCTCAAAATTTCAGTATGTGATAGACTTTCACATCCTCGTTCATATTTCCCAGATGACATATTTACAGAGGCTATTCATACCAGATTTTTCAGTTTATACGTTTATATTTCAAAGACTGTTTCTTACCTTTTAAGACCTATCAATTTTGAGTGGCAACACTGCTACAATGATTTTTCAGGATAAACAATATTAAATATATACATTGATGATAAGACATCCTGTTTTCAAAAACATTAAAATTTTTTTAAAAAGTCAATTTACCATCAAGGAAATTCATTATTCAAGTATTCATATATGTATTGCTGAACTTTAAAATTTACTTCAATGCAATTATTAGAAGATAATCCATTAAATGTATAATTAAATACAATTTCATTTTTATAAATATTAATGGTTTTCATATATATGATATATGGTATACATAAATTTACAAATTAGAAAAAAACTTTGGTCAGGCTACAGATGTTATTTAATTAGAAAACCATAGATTTAATGAGAAGCCCTCTAGCTCTCAAAAAGCTTAGAAGCTAGTCTTAGCTCTGATACCATCTAGTTATCTCAAGCTGAGCAAGTCAGGGAACTTGTGTAACTCAGTATTCTCAACTGTAAAATGGGTTAACAATGCCTACCTTATCTACTTCCCAGAGTTTTGAAACTTCTTTATGATGCTAAGAAACTAATGCTGTTATTGCCAATAATCATTTTCCTGGGAGGGCAGGTTCTGGAGCTAGACTGGCTGGACTCCCAAGTATAGCCCATTTTTGCCTCACAGCTGTGTAACCTTGTTAAGTTACTTCTCTGCTCCTCAGTGCCTCATTTGTAGGACAGGTATGTATAATAAAAATACCCACCTCAAAGGGTGGTAGGGTGGGGCGCCTGGGTGGCTCGGTCGGTTAAGCGGCTGCCTTCCTTCGGCTCAGGTCATGATCCCAGAGTCCTGGGATCGAGTCCCACATCGGGCTCCCTGCTCCTTGGAGAGCCTGCTTCTCCCTCTCCCTCTGCCTGCCTCTCTGCCTACTTGTGCTCGCTCTGTCAAATAAATAAAATCTTTAAAAAAAAAAAAAAGGGTGGTAGGGTAACATGCTTAGTACATGGTAAATATTCAGTACAGTTTTAACTATGTGATTAAACCACACATCCCCAGTGTGATAGCCCAAAGATCAATTACCAACTTAAGAGATCATCACCATGTGGTTCTCACAAAAGGGAAAGATACTAGAGAGTTTTCACCATCATCACCAGTATTTATTGTAAACACCAAAAAGGAACAAGGTCCTAACCCAGGTGCCTTACAGCACTGGATTCCACAACTGTCTTTAGCGATCCTATAGACAAAACAGAATGGGATAGGTCAGGTCAACGTAAGATGTTAAGAAACAACCGCATTTTTTTATAATCTTGAAAACTTCTTTTCCAATCTTTCAAATCTGCCCTTAAGCAGAGCAACAGAATAAATCAAAATATGGCAGTTGGAATGATGCCAAAGACAGCAGCCAGACAGGGTTGCAGCAGAGGAAATAAGACAGGGAGAGGCATTTTACAGCCACCCCTTCTACTATTTCTGGAGTCCAAGCCACCCTTGCATCTTACCTGGATGACAGCAATAGTCTCCAAACTGGAAGCCTTCTTGCTTCTCATCTTGCCCCTCCTTTCTATACAAATGGAAAGGTTAAGTTTCCAGAACCCTAACTCACCTTTCTTCCCTCCTAAAGCCCTATGATTCCACACTTAAACTAAGCAGCAAATACCATTCTATGTCCTTATCCTATGCTCTCCCCTTGCTCCTGCCACAGCATGCCCTGAAAGGAGCCTTTTGAGTGGAAACACAGGGACCTCTTCTTGTCATGCAGATCTCTGCTTAATGTCACATCTCCGAGGCCCTCTGCCACACTTGCTCTGTTCTTTGTCCCACAGTACTTGTGTGCTATGGCTCACTGATCCTGGCTCTCACCAGAGAATATGAACTCCAGGAGGGCAGGCAGCATCTTTGTCCTGCCCCCCAGTTATCCCCAGCACTTCCAACAGTGCCTAGCACATAACAAGTGGCTGATCAGTCTTGGTTTAATGACGATCAAGATTATCATGGTAGACTCTCCCCTTTTCTTAAACATACAGCAATTCTCCACCTGGTGTGATGCTGCATGGTGACTTGAAGCTTGGACAGGTGCTCTGGCTTGTCTGAACTTCAGTTCTCATTTAAAAAGCAGGAATAACAGCTGCCCTACCTACCTCATGTGCTGTGAGGATTGGATAATAGAGGTGAAAGCTCTCATGAAGTGTGAGCACTCTAGACCATGACAGTGGAACTGCTCTCTCGTTTTAAAGACGATGAAAAGGAAGCCCAGAAAAATTAAGTGGCAATACATGACCAGGACTTGCCTACCACACCAAGCTCTAAGGCACAAGTATTAAATGATATGAAAATGCATTCATTTGAAGCAGATAAAATACCAATACAACACTTTTAAGAGAGGGAATAGATGTTGAACAAGATAGGGAAAATTTTTGATTTTTTTCCTTTTTTAGCTTTTTCTCTCCTACTTTGCACATTGTCTGGCCTTAAGGATTTTAAATGAGCTCTGTAACAGCCTTGTCTGTTTTCCAGTCCTTGATATAGTCTACAGTCTATACACCACATGAACTACCTTCAAATATAATCTTGCTTAAAATCGTTTGTCTTCTATTTTTTAATGGGATACTTTTCTGAAATTCTGTTCAAATAATCAATTTCCACAAATTATTTCAAATTTTAATGACTACAAAATTGTGTTAGAGTGTAATAGAAATGTCTTGACCTTTTAGGCATTTGGGACTTTTTGTAGAGAGAGCGCAGGGTTCCAGGACTATAAGCTCTGGAGTTAGGCGCCCCAGGTTGGAATCCCACCTCTTACTTACTCTAGTGACTCAATCACTCGATACTGCAGAGCTCAGTTCCCCCACCTGAAACACAGAGCTAACAAAAATCTCACAAGGTCACTGGGAAGATTCAGTGGAAAAATCATTACAGTAATGTTAGTAATAACTATTCTTTTCTTTAGAATTTTGCCTCATCTTCTTAGACTCTAAGATGCATAAAATGTTAAATGTTTTCTCAGATACATCCTATATTTTCATTCAATAGTTTAAACATCTGACTTATTAAAGCATGAAAAAAACAAAGGCAATAAGTAGTTTTTACTGCATAATGATGTTAATATGTACTTAGAAGTTCTTTTTTTTTTTAAAGATTTTATTTATTTATTTGAGAGAGAGAATGAGAGAGAGCACATGAGAGGGGGGAGGGTCAGAGGGAGAAGCAGACTCCCTGCTCAGCAGGGAGCCTGATGTGGGACTCGATCCTGGAACTCCAGGATCATGACCTGAGCCGAAGGCAGTCGCTTAACCAACTGAGCCACCCAGGCGCCCTGTACTTAAAGTTCTTAAGAACACTGTCCTACATAGGTGAAAAATCAGCTTGACCATGAAATTTGAATTACGTGAAGCTGAAAATCTGAAAAAAAAAAAAAAAAGACTACCCCCAACTACCACTTACTTGTTTAACTTTCCATTATATTCCATCTGAGTCAGCATAATCTTTATTTCAAAATAGTGTTTTTATTATATAAAAGTGTAAAAATCCAGCAAAACCAGAAATACCGGATATATTTTCCTGGGCTTTCACATTTGTTGATTTTTATTCGCAATCTCTTTTTCAGTTCAATTTACAACCTCAACCCCATTCATTTGCAGTTTGATTATACAAGTGCTAAGTGGCAGAAAGGTCTAGAATAAATACATCAAAAAAAAGAGGCCAAGCCGTGAAACTAAGCTGCATGCAACAGGTCTATGAGGGTGGGGGAAAGTGTCTGGGGAATAAAACGGAGTAAGACAAAGCAATTGGAAGGTTTTAGCTAAAGTTCTTTCAATCATCTTTGTCTTTTGCTCCATGTTTAAGGATGCGCGTAAACTCAATATAATTGAAATTTCCCTTTTTGTCGATAGGCGCTTCTCTGTACAGCTCATCCACTTCCTCGTCTGTAAACCGATCTCCCATGGTTGTCAGCAGCTCTCTCAGGTAATCTTCCTGGATGGTGCCTAGAAGGCAGTGGAGAGGAGGGAGTCACGAATACTTCCTGGCGCTTTAATGGTTCATTTCTAAACTAGGTCAGTGTTACAAAATATTTCAGAATACCCACATTTACGTGAACAAAATAAATTAGTGAACTAAAGCAATATGTAACTATATCATTATCTTTGCCTATTACTTTTTTTTTTTAAGATTTTATTTATTTATTTGAGAAAGAGAGAGAGAGAATGAGCCAGGGGATGGGCAGAGAAGCAGGATCCCCGCTGAGCAGAGAGCCCGATGTGGGGCTCGATCCCAGGCCTCTGGGATCATGACCTGAGCCGAAGGCAGACGCTTAACTGACTGAGCCACCCAGACTTTTAGAATTATTACTTTTGGAGTTCTTTCAATACTTTTAGAGTTCTTTTAGAGTTATTGCTATTACTTGACTATTACTTTTAGAGTTCTTTCATTTTGGAGATTTTTTACAGCCACCCCCTCTACTATTACTGGAGTCCGAGCTGCCCTTGTGTCTTACCTGGATAGTAATAGTCTCCTAACTGCCTATTATTTTTAGAGTTCTTTCATTTTAGAGGTTTTTTTTAAAAAAATATTTTATTTATTTATTTGAGAGAGAGAGTGTGTAAGCAGGGGAGGGACAGAGGGAGAAGCAGCGAATCTCAAGCAGACTCTGCACCGAGCACGGAGCCCGACATGGGGCTCAATCTCATGACCCCGAGATCAGGACCTGAGCTGAAACCAAGAGTGGGATGCTTAACAATGAGCCACCCAGGTGCCCCATCTTTCACTGTAAAAGCTCAGTTAATACATTATAATGCTTACAAAATTAATTTGGAGCAAGTGTTTTCTAGAGGAGGAAAAAAAAACCCCTCTATATTTCAGAGATGCAAAGAAAAAAAAAGGGCAGCTGCCCAGAAAAAAAACCAAATGTGCACGAGGGACGGTGCAGTTGTGACAGGTAGAGACAGGAAGCAGGAAGAGGGTGCAAGGTGTCTCTGACGAAGTGTGCGGGTGGCTGAGGAAGGGGTTAAGAGAGAAGGAAAGGGGAAATGAGAGCAGTAAGAAATGTGAATAGCTAGGCTTTACACTCATTAAAATGAGGAAAAAAAGGATTTTACCTGTTGAAGTTAGTTAATTATACTTTTTGGTGAGATTTACAGTCACTTTAAGAAGTAGTTTTCATTGTCTAGAAATACTATTTAACAGACAATTCTCCGTTTGGCTTTCAGGAAGCTCTGAACCAAATTCAAAGATTAACACCACAAACCGGGCAGCTTTCTGACCCATCCATATACCTGTGACCTCCCCATTCTCGGTCATATTATCCTATTATAAATGATAGTTTATTCATTTTTTTTAAGTTCTATTTTACTCATCTTTTTCATTTCCTAAAAAGTGTTTCATGTAGTCTGGAATGAGGGTGGGCATGAACAAACAAAGAGCACTCACCAGTTGCTTCTTCATCAAAGCAAGCAAAAGCGTTTCTGATGACATCTTCCGGATCTGTGCCATTTAACTTCTCACCAAACATTGTGAGGAACATGGTGAAATTTATGGGCCCTGGAGCTTCATTCATCATGGCCTCAAGGTATGCATCGGTTGGATTCTTCCCTAGAAGATTTCACATTTTAACATTTAAGGACAAAGAACTAATTTCAATACATAATTATTTTGTTATTATGCTCCCCAGTATATTTTTAAGTTACATCATCATCCCATGGAATTATTTTTTCAATTAACTTGCATGAAGAACATTTTTATTTTTTAATTTTTTAAAAGATTTTATTTATTTATTTGACAGAGAGAGATACAGCGAGAGAGGGAACACAAGCAGGGGGAGTGGGTGAGGGAGAAGCAGGCTTCCCGATGAGCAGGGAGCCCGATGTGGGGCTCAATCCCAGGACCCCGGGATCATGATCTGAGCCAAAGGCAGACGCTTAACGACTGAGCCCCTCAGGTGCCCAAGAACATTTTTAAAAGACAATTTTTAACAATGTAAAAAATCTTTGATATATCATTATGTATTGTGAGCGTAGGTTGAATGTTTTTCATTCACTGATACTTTCTGCAACTTTTCCTTCACTATTTTCATTAAAAGCAAGCACCTGAGGGGCATCTGGAGTGGCTCAGTCAGTTAAGCGTCTGCTATTGGCTCAGGTCATGATCTTGGGATCCTGGGATCGAGTCCCGTGCTGGGGTCCCTGCTCAGTGGAGAGTCTACTTCTCCCTCTCCTTCTGCCTCTCTCCCCCAGCTCATGCTTTCTCTCTCTCAAATAAATAAATAAAATCTTAAAAAAACAAAAAAAACCCAAAAAAAACAGGCAGCTGAAACCATGAACCAGGCAATGCTATGTTTTCGCATCTTGAATGTTAATCATGTTAAAGGTCTATCAGGGCATTTCAATGCCAGTTATTTAAAAGATCGAAATATTCGTATTTCCAATTGTGGCACAGTTGCCCATGAATTGATATGCTTCAAAAATTTTATTTAGTAAGTTGGTCATTTAAGCTAAAACTATTAGGTTGGTTTAGAACCGAGAGCTCATTTTGAACAATGTTATCTATTACTCAGTTGCCAGACATATGAGCAAATGTGGTTTATTCATATGACAATACTAGTTTAGTATTGCTCATAATGGGAAATCTTAATCTCAGTGTCAGCTGAGAACACTTCTCCCTATGGAGGGAGATTCCTCTGACCCTCCCTTTCAAGTCAGGAGAAAGTTCCCTGGACCGGCCAGTCTTGGCGGGAATAACAAAACGCTCCTCTTTGTCCAGGCATTTGTGAGGCTCCCATGGTATAGGAAAAGTAGCCCTGAACGAAGGGTCTCGAATAGTGAGTTTGAATCCCAGTTCTGCCACCAACTGTGTGACCTGAGAAAAGGTGGCAGCTGTCTAGGGTTTACTTTTTTTTTTTTAATCTGTAAAATGGACTGGTTAAACTTGGTATCTGAGAAGTCCCTTCCAACATTAAGTTTGTAATGATTCTCCAGGAAAAGAACATCTTAAGTTAGATATTTATATCTAAGGAAGCAGCTGAATATTATACCCAACTAAGTGCTAATGATAGTCAAATCTAGAATTATGCATCACATGTAGTTTTCATCCTGGGAATTTGAGTGAAATTTAAATGCCAAGTTGGCATCTGTCTTACTGTATATTACCTGTCTTACTCATTATACCTATTCAACATAACAATACAAAAATTAGCCCAAAATTCATTTCAAGATTACTGAATAAGTGAAAGGAGCTAAAAAAGATCTACTTTCCTACCTTCAAATTTAATCCAACCCTCTTGCCACAGTTTTTTGGGGAAAAAAAAGTCCAATCCAAAGGTGTCAAGAAAACATGGGGGTACCAGAAAGACATAGGGATTTAAAATGAATTGGTTTAGGTTAAGCACCTATGGACACATTTAGGGCATCCAATATAATTTGATTTGAAAGGTAAATAAATATGTATCTTTAAAAGCATGGGTTCCCCAAAATGGAAGGCCCCAAAGTCAGCCTCTTACTCTACCATCCCTCATTCATCCGACACAAATTGAGCAACTACTATGAGCAGGGTACAGGCTTGAATGTTCAATCTTTTTTCTTTCTTTTTTTTTTTAAGATTTTATTTATTTGAGAGAGAGAGAGAATGAGCAGGGATGGGGAAGAGGGAGAAGCAGGCTTCCCACTGAGCAAAGAACCGGATGTGGGGCTCAATCCCGGGACCCTGAGATCATGACCTGAGCCAAAGGGAGACACTTACCTGACTGAGCCACACAGGTGCCTGAGTGTTCAATCTTTGTAATACAACTAAATCCTTCAATCTTCCTCCATGGCCTTCTTCAGTAGTGACCCGCCCAAAAGAGTACACTTAGCTATTCTAAGTGTGAAAAATACTGGGATCCAACCTACCTCCAAGTCAGTAACTTAGTTCAGTATCCCGATTCTACTCTCATTCTGAATAAAGAAAATGTTGCAAAATGTTAAGAATTGGTGTATCTAGGTAAAAGATGTATGCATGGTCACCATACTGTTCTTTCAACTTTTTGTAGGCTTAAACATTTTCAAAATAACATGTTAGAAAAAAAAAAACAGAGGAACAAAACTGTGTTCTGGTTACTAAGAGGAAAAGAATAACAACCTCTCTCTTTGCCCTCTGGCCCCCGAACTGCCCTTTCTGGCTGATAGTCAAGCACAAGAAAACTCCAGAGAGTAGAGCCTAACTGACCTGCACCCCTTCCCTGCCCAGTCTACAGAGAACTCCCAGGCTTGCCATTCCCAATGTAAAATCACTGCTGACTTGGGGGAGAACATGGAGGAACCTTCCCTCTCATCCTTCTTTTTAAGATCACAACAACAACAAAATCATACGAGGAATAATAAATTAACACCCATATAACCAAAATGACAAAGGGGCAGTTTCTATTTGCTTTAAATCTTGTATCTTTATATTTTCTTTACCTTAATTATAAAAAAATTATAAATAAAATCCTCTTATGACTGGCCAACCCCAATATGGCACTTCCCACCCAGACATCTCTCACTAGGCCTTTGAGATAAGGAGAGAAATACTTACACATCACACACAAAATAATTCATAAAACACTGAATTATTATTTTTGGGAGGTGGGCATATTAAGAATATAAAAACCTACCTAGAGAAGCAAGCATATCATGCAAATCCTCCTTGTCAATGAAACCATCTCTGTTCTGATCAATCATGTTGAAGGCCTCTTTGAACTCCTGAATCTGCGACTGGTCAAACATGGCAAATACATTGGATGTTGCGCGCTGGGGGCGCTTCTTGGTGGTCTTGGTCTTTGCCTTTTTGCTCGACATGGTGGCTATTTAATTCTAGAGTTAAAAAGAAAAAACATAAACCAAAAAAGAACACATAAAACATAAAACAGAACAAAAAAGAACCTGTAACACCTAAAGTTAGTAAGTAAAAGTATCTTAATGCAGAATTACTTTAATTGTGTAGGAATAAATACACATTTCAACTTTATTTCCAATGTGACAATTAAATGGTTAGGAAAAAGCAATTCTGAAAAATTTAAGAAACAGAACAGAAATCATTATATAGCTTGCCTCCAAATTTCATGAGACTCATTTTTATTACGTGGAAATTAATTTAAAAATATACAGCAATAGGGCGCCTGGGTGGCTCAGTTGGTTAAGCGACTGCCTTCGGCTCAGGTCATGATTCTGGAGTCCCGGGATCGAGTCCCGCATCAGGCTCCCTGCTCAGCGGGGAGTCTGCTTCTCCCTCTGACCCTCCCCCCTCTCATGCTCTATCTCATTCTCTCAAATAAATAAATAAAATCTTAAAAAAATATATATATATATATAGCAATAGCTAGCATTTACTGAGTAGCTTACTATGTGCTAAGCACTGTTATGAGGGTTTGGGGCTCCCCTAAAGAGAAAGACTCCAAAGTTGACATTTCATCTTACTTTTTACAAGGATTATCCCACTGGATCCTCCTAACAATCCAATGCAATAGGCACTCTTTTTACTTCATTTTATTACCAATATTGCATAACCTCTCTGAGCCTCGGTTTTTCAAAACACAGTATGAAAACCAGGGAAGCTCACACAATCCTCAGTTTTATAGCCAAACACAGCCTCTATTTCAATGCAAGTGAGACTTCAATGAGACAACATTCACAAAGGAACTAGTATAGTCATTGTATGGTACATGTTCAGAAGGCTCTCATCTTAAAAAAATTATCAAAACCTTTTTTTTTTTTTTAAGTAATCTCTACGCCCAACATGGGGCTTGAACTCACGTGAGGCTTGAACTCAGGACCCTGAGATGGAGTCACATGCTCTACCAACCAAGTCAGCCAGGGCACCCCAAAACCTACTCTTTAATCTTTCATCCCTTCTAGCTTCATATTCATTTCCCCTTTCCTTTGACAAAACTTTCAGAATAGCAGTCTGATACTCAACCGTCTCCATTTTCTAATCTTTCCAATCACTCCTCAGTTCTCGATAATATGGCTTTGATGTTAGCCTCCAATACTCTACTGGAAGCCACCAATAATATAGATGTCTAATAGGGGGCGCCTGGGTGGCTCAGTCAGTTAAGCGTCCCACTCGTGATCTCAGCTCAGATCTTGATCTCAGGGTTGTGAGTTCAAGTCCCATGTTGGGCTCCACACTGGGCATGGAGCCTACTTAAAAAAAAAAAGTAAATGTCAAATAGAATGAACACATTTCATTCCATTTTTTATTTGCAGTTTTAAATAAACACAATGCAAAAATATTATCAGCTCTGGAATTAGAAGTCCTGAGTTCAAATCTTAGCTCCACCATTACTAGCTACATATAACCTTGGAAAACCCAGAGAGACCAGAGCAAATTTTCCATCCAATCTCTTATTCAATCTTCACAACTGTCCTATGAGATAGGTATTATCTAGGTTAAAATATAAAATCAATGGCCCTTTGGAGTAAACAATTTTGCCCAAAGAGAGGCTTGGCCTCTGCTTCTGGGAGGTAATCTCTAAGCCTTTGGAATGTCCTGCCTATATCTGCGGTCTTGGGTCATATCAGACAATCTAACAATGTAATTTATTGTGGGGGTTATGGGTCATGTATTACCAGTTTGACCTCTCAAGGGGGCTAGAGACTGAAGTCAGTCACAGAGCAGCTGACAGTATCTATGTGACGGAGCCCCAATAAAAACTATGGCTATCAAGGATCAAGTGAGCTTTCCTAGTTGGCAATACTACATGCATAGTCCCATCTTGTTGCCAGGAGGAGTCAACACTGTCCATGGAAGAGTACAAATGGAGCTCTGCATTTGGAACCCTCCTGGACTCTGCACCACACATCTCTTTCCTTGGCTGATTTTAATCCGAATTCTTTTACTGCAATAAACCATAACCAAGAATATAACAGCTTTCAATGAGTTCTGTGAATCCTAGCAAAATCATCAAACCTGAGGGTTGTCTTGGGGACCCAAACTTGCGACTGGTATCAGAAATGAGGGTGGTCTTGGGGACTGTTGTTTAACTCTGCAGCCCCATAGTATGAAAGCAGATGACTAGCTGGGCAGCAGCTGACCAAAGCAATTTTGGACTTTGGTCTCTAGGACTTTTAGTCATGAACTTTTTTTTTTTTTTTTAAAGTAAACTCTACACCCTACATGGGGCTGGAACTCACAACCCCGAGATCAAGAGTTGCATGCTCTACCAAATGAGCCAGCCAGGCACCCCTAGTCTTGGGCTTTTAATCTACATTGCTTATTTCTCTATCTTCAATTTAAAAAATTATCACCACCAATAACCACCCCCCCAAAGGTCTTCTGAAACTGGGCTTAGTGGTGTAGGTTTGAAGTATACCAGCCTTAGAATTCTTATTCTAATATTCCAACTCCTTCTCTACCCCGTATAAATGTTAATTTTCTTCTCTGTCCTGTAACTTAGCTTATTTGAGTTTAGTTATACTGAAGGTTAAATCAGAGACAGAATGTGGTCCACCAGCAAGGCACGTGTCTAGGCTTTAATTCTTCTTCCTATTCCAGAACTGTTGATTAAAATTTTTTGTGCTAAAAATTCTATCTATTCAAGATATAATATGTACAAAAGACGGTAAATCTGAAGGCAAGAATCAGTTCTTTCAGTATCTACAAATTATGTTTGTAATAGAGTCATTTAGAAAAACCTCCCAGAGTAAATTTTTATTATTTATTTTTTATTTATTTTTAAAAAGATTTCATTTATTTGACAGAGAGACAGAGAGGGACAGCGAGAGAGGGAATAAAAGCAGGGGGATTGGGAGAGGGAGAAGCAGGCTTCCCTGCTGAGCAGCGGGCCTGATGCAGGGCTCGATCCCAGGACCCTGGGATCATGACCTGAGCGGAAGGCAGACACCTACCAACTGAGACACCCAGGTGCCCCTGGAGTAAAAATTTTTTTAAATAATCAGTCAATTGTGTCATGCTAACCCTATAGCTACCGCAAAAGTCTACTGTATTGAAACATTTCTGAAGCTTGGTTGGGGTTCTCCAAGAAGCTGATGCCAAGATGGGATTCAACATGCAAAGATTTTTATTAGGGGCAATGCCCGTGAGAGAACAGGGAGGTAACCAATAAGGCCACTAGATGGTAAGACAAGTCTGACCCCAAGAGTGAAGGCAACAGAGAAGGAAGGTGAAAAACAATCAAGAGCAATTCATACATGGCCCTAATCAAAATAGGTTACAGCACAGATAATAGGCTCAATGTAATAATACCATAATTTCTTCTAAAAAAAGTTTTTTCTCTGTACTTCACTTTAAAACTGTATACATTTATATACATATATGGTACCTATACACTACACACATATATACAAAATATCAGCTGATAATAAAATATCAGCTGAAAAGCAAGGCAAAGTTATTGCAAAACAATCAATCTGAAAAGAACTCTACCCCCAAAAGAAACTACCATCCTCTCTCCTTTCCTTCTGAGATAAGGATCTTGGCTTTCTCTACTTTCTTACTTCCCACTCACTTTCAACCCACCACAATCTGGCTTTTTTTCCTCTACTGCAACTGCTTTCAAACTGCCAAATCCAGTCTAACTCCTTGGATCACTCTGCTGTATTTAACACCATTTTATCCCTCTTTTCTTCAGAGTCTCAACAACTCTTGGCCTTGGTGAACAGTAACAATAGAAATAAACTGTCCAAAATGGAAAGAGAGTGCAAGGTTCCCCACAAATAAATTCAGACTATACTGGGGAAACCAATGTACACTCCACTCTAACAAGGGAGACTTAAAAACAGAACAAAAAAAACCCCCAATTTTATTTATTTGAGAGACAGCACAAGCAGGGGAGAGAAGCAAAGGGAGAGGGAGAAGCAGACTCCCTGCTGAGCAGGGAGCGGGACATGGGACTCGATTCCAGGACTCCAGAATCATGATCTGAGCTGAAGGCAGATGACTTAAATGACTGAGCCACCCAGACACCCAAGGGAGACTCCTAGTGATATTGGAAAGGTCGGTTTATGTGAAATGCTACATTTGACTTGGTGAGACCAATTTACTCTTCTCTCAGTTCTATTTCTATGACTGGTCCTCCTCCATTTCTTGTTAGGCTTTTATCTTCTCCACTCACCTAAATATTCATGTTTCCCAATATTCTAGCGGTCCATGGCTTATTAAAATTCTTTCTATTCTGCTTTCCTCGGATGATTTCATCAACTCTCACTGGTCTGACAACACTGATGCCTCCCAAGTCTGTATCTCCAGGCCTGACCTTTCCCTTGGGCTGCAGACTCTAATATCCACTTGCTTGTGAAAGGCACCCATTTGGACACCCCACAGACACTCATAATCAATGTGTTGAAAACTGAATTATCTTCCTGTTTCTAAATTTTCTTAGCTTTCTGTCTTCTCTCAGTTAATGACACCATCATTTACCTATTCACCAAGCCAGAAACCTAGGAGTCATTCCCAACTCATCCTTCTCCCTGGTGAATCAAGCCCTGCCTCTTGATTACTTCTCAGACTTGCTGATCTTCCTCATTCCTCTCCCACCACCCTACAGTGGGCCTTCATTTTTTCTGTGTAGAATATTTCTATAGCCAACAAACCTATCTTCTTGCTTTTTCGTCCCTCTAAACTGCCCTTTATGTTCCAGCCAGTGGTGTCTAACTCATGAATATGACCTTACCTTTCCCTTAAAAATTTTCTTTGGCTCTCCACTGCATATAGTACAAAGTATAAGTTCTTAAGCATGGTATACAAGGTCCTCCTTTTCATACACTAGAATGACCTTTCCAGCCTTATCTCTAGCCATTCTTTGCTTTCTACTTTTCCTTCAGCAGCACCAAACTGCTTGTATGTGTCCATGGCA